TGAGAGAGAGAGAGAGAGAGAGAGAGAGAGAGAGAGAGAGAGAGAGACATCGAATTTCCTGTTGTAACAGATAGCTTGGTGAGAACATACTATTTGCACTAAATCAAGATCTAAATTGAGAGCAAAACAATAAAATTACTTGGTCTAGATTTTGAAGATCCACAGACAAAGGTAAGTGTACGTTTCTTTTTCTAGAACAGAAGTGATGTCAGCCCATTTGTTAACTTTGAACAGAGATGAGCAACACCTGACTGGAAGTGTCTTTTCGTCTCTCGTTCAGGGGTTGATTAACACGCGAGAAGGACTAATTTACGCGACCGCTAGCTTGTTAGATTCTATTCCTGACGAACACCAAAAATCCACGCTATGTTCTTCAACTTGAATATAACAGTATAATAGCCCTACACCCACTCAATCACTTGCAGCGAGCAGTAAGAATAAGGCAACAATTATTCAAGAGTTGTTAAAAGAATAGACCAGCACTCCCGATGAATCCACTACCGGACATATTACAACAGAGCTACTATTTAGGAATTATAATTAGATTATATAATTTGAAGAAATAGATCTAAACTCAACCTACAATTAATTAGTCTCTGTGTCCTTCGACTTCGAACATTCGTATTAGTATTATTTTCTCTTCGGTGGGATCAGTTTTGTATCCTGTTTTACAACTCCACACAGAATGTTCTCGTCCCGGCTACAACACATTACATTAAAATGATAATGATCGTTGTCAGTCCATCCTGGAACAGGCGGAGATTTCACGGTCTTGTGTGAGAAAGAGCGACTTTTGAGCAAGAGGATTGCCTTTTGGGCTATTTCACAGTAACTGACGGGACATTTGGACTATATTTTCTGACAATGATAACACTAATTCAATATCAATTACAACAACTTTAAATGACCAGAACATTTGAAATATTTAATAAGAAGCATATTTGATGCAGGTATCTGAAAAAGAACTCTATGCAAATTCTGTGACGTGTTTAGCTTCCGTATCAGAAGGGACAAAGGAAGTATTTTTTTCTGTCCCTTTTGTGGCGTTTACATCAGAAGCCACGCTCAGGTCATCAAGCTTGATTATTTACAAAACTTCTCCCTGTCGCATATCTTAAAGTTGAATAGGGAAAAGAAGAAATTATTTTTTGTTTGTTATTATTTCTGATGCTTAATAAATAATCGATGTGTCATTACACGGCCACGCAAATAGTTTAAACCACGTTGCTTCGGCAAATAAAACAAGAACTCGCGCAATTGCCACACAAGAAATGTTCGCATTGGATGTATTTTGGATTAGCTCAGTACCGCACTGCGACAAAACAGTTGGCCAACAGCTTTTGCTGGAATGTTGTAGACAATGAAAATAAGAAAAGCACGACTAAATGATTGTGTTGTGTTGGTGGGGTAGGCTTCTCTTATTTTCATTGCCCCTCAACTCATCACGAAATATCTGGCCAACTGTTTCGTTGTTGTGCGGAACTGGGTTCAGCGTTAAAGTGTAATGTTCAAAGCCACCCACATGACCACCCATCCAATAACTTGCCACGTCACAGTGCTTGACATTTCCGTGTAAATGAGTTCTCTCAGCACCCGATCACCGAGGCGAATATTCGTGGAAACGTGGTGCCTAAAAATAACTTCCTACTTGGCCTTGTAACAGCCGTGACAGTCTCAACGGGAGAGCTCTCGGTGCGAAATCTGATAAAAATGAAAGTCTGGGAGCAAGACAGGTTGGTATTTTGAGCCATAAAGCAGGGAGGTCATACCAAGAAGGAAGAACAGGATCTTTATAATGTGAATTGAAACTGCTCTCAGACACTCCCCTCCCCCCAAATTTTGTGTCCGTGTTTGTGTGTGTGTGTGTATGTGTGTGTGTGTGTGTGTGTGTGTGTGTGTGTGTGT